TAGTATCGGTCGCTTGACCTCAACGTTTCTCACATTGTGATTCGACCACATGCGAACAATGCTATGGAGATACTTATGATCAAAACCCTGTAATTGCTTACTGTCTCCAACTACTAACGACCTTGTCTCATAGCCGTATAACAGGATAGGACGAACTGCAGCGCAGTATACTCGTCCGTTAACAGGTAGTCATTTATCTCGCTGGCGCAACAGATGACGCGACTTGGAGAACGTCAAACAGGCCTTCTATATCCGGAGTGACACTTCGTCAGCAACCAACCAATCCTGGCTGACGTAATTCCCCAAGTAACTGAAGTGGTTGACGCATTCCATCATTCTACTCCCTATTATTACGTTGGGAGTAGTTGCATACCGGTCCTATCTTACATTTGAAAGGTGACACCGAAACACATGCCAAACATACTCAGATTTCTGTTTAACGCATTCAGAAAACCATGCATTTTGTCAGCGTCTTCATCTACCAGGACAATGTGATTTTCATACTTCAGGACAACCAGATGACCTTCAGGGAGTAGATTAATCCCTGAAAGTGAGAGATATTTAGGGTTATGTCCATTGGTACGTTTATAGGGAGGTTAAAGAGGAACGATAACAGTGAAGCAAGCATACTAATCAAAGTGAAACCATAACGGTATCATGACATGGTTGCATAGGCATATATGTGAATGAATTGACAATATCTTTTGCTTTTAAATAATTGAAGTTAAATATCCGATGATACTTTACAGGAATCAAGGTTTCAAACACCTGAAAACACTTATTTCCACGGGATTTCAGTAAACTGAAAGAGATTTGTGCTAGCTCGAAAAAAAGTGACAATAATGTTCAACAAATAAATCACGAGTTTGAGCACCGCTACATCTACTGAGGTTTAGGCAGCTAGGTATTACTAGCCCTCTCACACAATAGTTGTGGCTCATCGTCTACTGAACGAGCGTGAACAAGGTTGCTAAATGATATCACTTCGTTCAGTCAATGTTATATATCAAATATTTGTACCACAAAAGAATTGCAACACATTAGTGAGTGATGCACGCAACACGATCATCATACTATAACTAAAACTAGAATTAGATTACATAAACATTGAAAGTTGGCTGTTCATAGGAATTCATCGATGTTTCAGTTATGATTATTGGAAAAAAAAATGAGGTGTTGGTCGTAAAATTAATGCTGAATTTTAAATTATTTGTTATAAACTGACAGAAGTAAGAAATATGGACACCAGATGCCAACCCAGTAGCTTAATGGTAACATGTTGGCCATGAAACCTGAAGGTTCTGGGTCCGATCCCCCTGGGGGTCATGGGTGCGCACTGTGGACGAGACCTGTTAGATGAAACAAATGTCCGGTCCTGGCAGGTTCCCATTGTTTCTCCAGCCAGTGTTAGTTCATAGTGAATATCAACCTGAAATCAATTATTTGTCATTTTTGTATGATCCATGTTGAAATTAACTACTATAGACATTTGTCAGAATCAGTTAAGTGTTTTGAATTTTAACAGAATGCATAAGTAAAGCTAACTGTGTTGACACATTCATCTGACAAACCTTCAAAATATGAAAGGTTTATACAGAAAAACACTTTTTATCAAAAACGTTTCAAATGTACATACATACACATACATAAAGTCTACTCTGTCTACTAACAGACACATGCACACACAAGTTGATAAGTATAGATAATGTCAACAGGCAATTCACTTATTGTGATATGCTACAAAAAGAAGACAAGAAAACGAGGATATTCAGACCGCATGAAATTAAAAAACCAGTTAACTGGACAATTCAATTTGAAGGTTAGTGGGGATTTATTTATTGATTCCAGGTTCGTATTCATCATGAACTGACATCAGTTAAGGGAGAACCATTGGAACCTGGGAGTACTGGACAGTTGTTTCCTCCTAGTATGGGACTCCTCAACGATGCACACCCATGATCCCAACACGGAACAAACACAGGACCTTTAGGTTCCACGGCAGCACGCTAGTTATTAATAAAGCCCCACAAATTTCTAAACACTTCTCAGTGTTCATTGGTAAACTCATCTCAAAATAAGTCACTGAAGTTCTAATGAGAAGTAATGACCGGTGTGGTGACCAAGTGAGATGTGAAAACAGTTACTCAACGACGGCATTGTATGGACGTCGCGCTATATCGTCAACTGAAAGAAGAAAGAAATAAGGACCATCTCATCGTGGATAAGTACTGCTGGAGAGTCCCATGCTAGGACTAAGTAGCTGTCCAGTCCTACAGGGTTTTCAATGGTTCTCCAACTGATGTCAGCTCATGATGAATACTTACTTAAAAATTAGTTATTTCCTTTCATCAAAAGAGGAAGAAAGGTGGGTTACCAAACTACACTATAGTATTACTGTAGCTCATCCATCTGGGCATTTGACTTCCAACCGATAAGCTACAGGTTCGAGCCCCGTTCCATCTAAGGGGGTGGATTGGTGGTAGTCAGGTATTATTATTAGCCGTCACACAATACGTATGGCTCATTGGTTACTGCATGGACTTGCAAGTAGCTGGTGAGTGCATTTCAATTTTCGAATGGAGTAATACACTCGAAAATGTTTTGAACAAAAATATACGGATGTAGGAACGAGTTCCAGTAATATACTATTTACACTTAGTGTTAATTTTTGTTTTATCTCGTCTAAAAAACAAAGAATTCAACTGTGTACACTGATTACTTACTGGAGAATAACCTAGTTCTGATTGCTGACCGAATTCTTTCAATCATTTTGCAATATGGCTTTGCTGACCAGCAAGCCACCAACAAGCACGAAATCTAACCTCCTCTCCAATCATCGGCTAATACGGGGAACTCTATATCTTATTGAATTAAACTGTCAATACTTAAAACGAGTGAGTAGTGAAATCAAAAATGGCGTCACCAGCTTAATATAATATTAACATAAGGTGTGGTTTAATACCTATTACAGAACTTTGTATATCAATGGTATAATGATTTTTTAAAAATTCTACGTCTAGTATTGTAACTAAGCCCTTAATTAAACAAGCCATTCAACTGCCTTTTCCATGAATAAAGTCAAATCAGTCAACGTACTCTTTTCTTGATTAACAAAGTTCAAAGATATGTGAATCACCGGTTCTACCCCAACGAGGACCAAGCTTGCAGTTCTATATATATATATATATATATATATATATATATATATATATATATATATATATATGACCATTTCGCAGAACGACACATTATCATGAATTAGTTAACTGAAGAATAAAAGGCGACAATTTACATAACTGAATGCGGGTCTTTGAAATATCATGCTGAAAGAAACGCTCAAAACTATAGGCTCAAGTACTTATTAATAGAAGTTAAATGTTACGCAATCGGAAACATGTTAATTTACCACGGAAAATAGTATTATTATTATTCTAGAGCACACCTCATCGGATACAGTAAAATGTTCACCCACTCACTATATGATGCATTACCAATCAATTTATCATAGTGGGTGTCATTAACAATCAGATGCCAAATCACAACGCTTCAGTCAAACGGCTAAAAAGAAGCTTATAACTTTTTACTTATGTAATATATGGGTAGTGAGATAATAGATAAAGTGTGTATTACGCGTCATGGTCACACCCACCATAATGGTTAGTTAGGTAAACTATACATGAAGCAGATGCAGATGAAGTCACCTAATCTGGTAACAAAACATCCAGGAACAAACTTCAAAGTTCAGAGAACAAACAATTAACAACCAACTTTATAACTATACGCGGATATACGAGCAATAATCAAAAAGAATAGTTGAGCCAGTTGAAATAAGTGGTACGTTGATTAGAAATTGGAGGTCAGAATTAGTGTTTGCCATACATTCAGTTTGGGCTGTGAGATACCGATGTTACCTTTCTCCGTAGAAATAAAATGTTCATTCATTAGTCACTGCAGAGCAATTCAGTGTTGTCTAGTCCTGAGTGCTGATGAAATCCTATCGATCATTTTGCAATGTGAACACCAAGCTAGAAGGTTCATCATCGAGATACATTTTCATGGATATTAGTTGGTTGAAGGCGATCACCAGGAAGCCTTACCCGACCTATTTTTTGGCTAGTTAGCACTCGTCAGGAATGCGTATCTCCAACCTCGACGGAACTGATGTCACATCTCAGATCCCAACATTCAGTCAGCAATCAGTACTAGACAACATAAAATTGGTTGCTGTTCAAAGTGATTAATCAGTGTATCAAATCCAGTCCTACAGGAGGTCAATCGTCGTCCGAATAGCTCAGCGGTAACGTAGCTGACTGTATTACTGAATGATGCGGGCTCGGATCCCAGCGGTGACATCACTTCGTTCGAGGTTGCAAACAGCCCTTGCCGATGACTGCCAACAAGCCTGGAACTTACATGAAGTCGGGATTCCTGTCGGTTACCTGCAGCAACTAACATCCATCAAAGTGCACCGCGATGATCAGCCTCCTAGCTTGATGGCCTCATTGCGAAGTGATGGATAGAATTCGGTCAACATTCAGGACTGGAAAACGTGGAATTGGTTGCTCTCCAGCAACCAGCAACAGAATAACTAATATGTTCGGACAAGAAAATGCCACCTGTTCGAAATCATGAGTGATATGAAAGAGACGAGTAAGAGAAATCCATAAATTTGAACCGACTGCAGATGATGTGATCAACACTTGCTAAAATAGCTAACTTATTCTCTCGTAGAAAGCAATTTTTCAGGAAGATACACTGCAGAAATTAGCGTTAATGAAGACTAAAATAGACCACAAGGGAGAGTTGGTGAATTATGAGCCTTACCTTTGAAGCAGTAATGGTAAATCAATCAACCGGACATCCATAAGTCGTAAACTTCTATATGACTAAGTAAAGTTAAAAGGAATCGACAAATGTAGACATAAATATTAAGGAATATGATTTCTGACAAGAGGTGACAGGGCCATAAACACAACAAAGCAATATAACATGCAACTTACTACATTCAAAGATCTTGAAATACACGGCGACTTTACTTCTTCCATATGTGGAGTGAGTGTACGCGAATTGGAAAGATTACTGCCAGAGTTTTCACCAGTACCAGCAGTACTACTAATACCTTCAACGCGTCACTAATTGCAATTTTCGGTGAAATAACTTTGGATGACTTTTTAATTCTACTAAGGGAGGAATGGACTCAGTTGCACTGCTGATAGAATGTCGACCACTATCCACTGTTCCTAAACTCGTAGGATGTTTAGGTCGGCGTATTGTAATAAATCCATTCTCTGTCAGATTACTGGACAATGATAAAGCCAATGTTGCTGTATTAATACTGTTACGGTAACCAATACCACCATAACTGTTCGCGTCACCACCAGTGGTAGGGGTAGTAGTAAACTTGTCAATTGAAAGAATTCGAGGTGATGATGTGGATAGGTGAGGTGAATCAGGATAATCCATTAGACTCAAACGATGCAGACTGGATAGTTTTGTATTTCTCATTATTCGGTTGTTGTTTTCCCCACTTCCTTGAATTTAATATTATGAAAAAAGAAGAAATCAACCAAAAAGAAAAAGGTATGCAGTATATTTAGTCAGTAAATGACTATGAATAAGCAAGAATTGAGTTGGAGTGAATATACCAGCCAAAAAAATATGCTTCAAAGCACAATTCTATAGAAAAAACCAGTTCTCATTAAACATTGTTTTCGTGATAAATAACTCTAAGGTGTCACAGAGACTAGACTTAACACCCATACCTGTGATAGTTTTAACCACTATTCAATTAGCTTGATTCATATACTTACTGAGAACCGATACTATAATTCAGTAACAATAACAATATAATATAATATTATATATATATATATATATATAAATATATATATATATTACATGTTGTATTATATTTTATACTATACATCATATTATTATACATTGATATATACACATATTATACACTAGATTATCACGTCATATCGTACTATATTATAACATCATATAGCATATATATGTAATGACATAATAATATATAATATAAATGATATATAACCTCACCTAGTTAACTAGTCCACTAGTTCCTAGCCGGTCCTAAGCCCAGGTAAAGAGGGAAGGTTGAGCATAGAACCAACAACCCTACCTCACAAAACCAATTCAATCGCTAAAAAAACTTCAAAGCACAAAGAAAACATTAAAAATAAAAATAAACTTGTTCCTCGCTGGAATCAGAAAGACGAAATAACGCCAGTTCGTGAAAGCCTTCGCGAAGCCAGTCGGTCGATGTGCCTTCGCTTGTCTCGATGACAGCGAAAGTGAGAATGGGGACATGGAATGTCCAAACAATGTTTCAACTAACCAAGGCCGCACAGATTGCCAAAGACATGAGAAGGTATCGCGTAGAAGTGCCGGGCTGGGAATCTGAGAAAGGAGATAGAATGCAAGCTGACTCTCCAAACTGTCAACTGGAGAGTCAATAATCTAATCTGATATTCTCACCCAGATAACAACAACGAAGTGGCCATCACGATGTCCCCAGGAGCGTCGAAAGCTGTCTTCCATGCATTGGGAACCAATCTCCTCCGAGATCCTGATCATGACACCAATATTCAAATCAAAAGGAAGGAAATTCACAATCATACAACGCTACACTATGCAACTACAAATAATGCAGATGAAGAGAAGAAGTAGGAATTCTATAGACAACTACAATCAGTACTGGACAAGACCCCAACTCAAATGGCGATATCAATACTCTAATGGGTGACATGAATGCCAAACTGGGAGCAAACAACACAAGAAGAGAACTCATCACGGGTCGAGAAGCCCTCGGTGAAATGATGAATGAGAATGGAGAACTGTTTGCAGACTTCTGCGCATTTCTTGATTTGGTGATTGGAGTCAGACAGTGTGTAAAAAACACAAGGATATTCACAAAAAGACGTGGATTTGATTTCAGCAGGTGGACACACTAAACTAAAAATCAGATCAACTTCATCCAATCTGAAAAAAGTGGAGACGAAGCCTACTGGACACAACATCAGATCAAGAAGGCGAGCAAATGAAGGTTCACACCATTCACTATCTAGTGCAAGGAACCTACCTTCAAAATCAAGTTGAATTCTTCACAGTATTTGATGACAGGTCACAGTTGAAGTTCAACACCCAGAAAAGAAACTCAACTGAAGGACGAAACTTCAAAGGACATCACGTCAGATGGTCACCAAGAAAAAATGGGAGACATTAAGGAACATCCCGAGGAAACCTGTGTGGAAGAACACTGGAACTCTTTGGAAGCTATGTGGAAGGAAACCTGCATAACCATGTTAGGAAGGAAGAAGAAGCGACAAAACAAGGGGTGGATCTCCACGGATACACGGAAGCTGATAGACGAGAGGAAGATGGTGATGGTGAAGCAGAAGATGAACCAGTACTAGGATGCACAACGAAAAGAGGAAATGGAAACAACTTATAAAACACTAAACTGGGCAAAGAAGTGAAGAAGAGTGCGCGTAAAGACAAAAAACACTTCTACGACACATTGGCAAGTGAAGCAGAATAGGCTGCTAGTAGGAGAGATAGATACCTGACAACATAATATCAAATAACCGGGTTACTATCCGGGAAGAGATCAACGCAGACGAAACCAATGAAAGATAGTGAAGGGAACCTAGTTACCAAAGAGGAGAAACAAAAGAAACAATGGACTGACCACTTCAAAAAACTCTTCAATCGACCACCACCACCAGCAGCAATTGCAACTCGTCCAAAAATACCACCAGCAACGGTAGAATTACCAACGAACACAGGCCCTCCAACAAAAGTCAAGTCCGGAACGCCATAAAGTCGCTGGAATCCGAGAAAGCAGCAGGACCAGATGGATTCCACCAGAACAAGTGAAAACAGACTCGGAGACAGCAGCAGACACCCTCACACCACTATTGCAGTTGGGCGTCCCAGCTAAGGATGACATGGAGGAGATCGTGTGAGGAAGAAATGAAAACTTCTGAGCAGACGTGGAGCCATATTCAAAAGACTGCAGAGAAGAGAGTGAAATGGAGACGTGCTACTGAAGTCCTATGTTCTACTAGGAACCCAAGGGACAAATAATAATAATAATAATAATAATAATAATGAATGAATGAATGATATATAATATAATTTAGTACCAATGTACTCATTGAGACTAGACTATAACTCATATAATGCACTAATCACAACCACTGCACTGAAACACCACACATTTCTTCTGAATGCTTAGTCATGGTGATTGATGTTATCAAAACGTCTGTCTAGTGTCTAAATTAAAAGAATTAACTACTATCGTGTTGTGGTAATAACAACGTGGACATGACCGTATAGAATACACAGATAAGGATCATTACCATACAATGCGATACTGATGCCTAGCAGTCAACGTTGCACAGTTGGCACAGATATATGAAGGTAACTGGCAACACAACTGGAAGGACAAAATAGTGAACACAACATTGTTGAAAGCGAAGAAATAGTGAGGTACGAAAACAGTAAAGAGAGTAAGAAAACATTGTATCACCATTTGAATGGAGATAATGTATGGATGCATCTGCGGTTCACTCGTAGGATTTAGTCGAAATACTGACACACCAGTGCTGGTGCAACTTCACAGGTAAATGAGATGGTCAAAGAATTCAAACGATCCACTCTCTATCACCAGAGTGTACATCCAAATAGACTAATCTCTAAGGTAAAATGTCTAAACTCTTCGTTCTGCTAGCCTTTTCACTTAAAATGATTACCCTAAGTTCAGTCAAAGAATTTCCAGTAAGATGAATTCATATTGGATGGTTTCTTTGGTATATCACACACTATTATTTACTGGATAACGTTTCCAGCATAATTTATTGCTCTAACCAAATCAATAAATTCAAGTGACTTTGAAGATAATCCGAACAACTGCTGAGGTAGCCAATTACGTTTCTATACTTTATGAGAAACTACCTTCCCAGCCTATATACCGAAACCTGGTTGGTCATTTCAGCAGCTGCTGGGGAGGCCATTAAATTCATTCACAAACTCTACTCGAAACATCACTGTGTACTAAATCGAATAAACAATATAACATGGAATTATACTGAATCAGAGTGCCCAAGTTTTACGCTTATGTTAAGGAGGCCAATCGTTGCAAGTCAATCAGTCAAGATGAGACAGACCTTCATAAGTATGCCTATGACAGAATTAGATAAAATTGGAGAAAGTGGACATTTCTGACGATCAGTAGTCCAAGTAGATATCCAAACGAATACAGTGGAACAATGGTAGTCTGACATCAAATATGTCACTCAATGGAAACAGACACTATATTATGTTCATCTCAGAAATTGTAGTTCCAAATTTTTATCCTCACAGAATCGATACAGGTTTCGAACCTTTATCGATCGAAGTGACTTGGAAGTGTGCTGGGCATGCCAAGCCACCACTTACTTCGATATATCATGCTAGAAGACGTTGGATTATTTTGAAAGAATTCAGGATGACCAGAATGTTGGTCTGAGTCGCGTGCGGAGACGTAGACTACATTACTGGGGTCCCAGAGATGAAAGGAATCAGTGCTTGAGAACTCTAGGTGACATGGGTGATTAACGGTCACAATAGTACAGGTGTATTCACTCCTCGATGTCTTCCAAAACTCGATGTTCGGACTAACTCTAATTGTTGAATTCCCTCACTTCCCACACACCTTTGTCTACTTTGATATCAGTCTTTTCTGTCCACTTGCTCTTTGTAAGGTATTAAGAAGTGTAGGAAGTTGAGGTGATGCACTTGTGTATGAGGTTCTACGTCGATTGTCTGTCTGTGTGTCTGATCCAAAGGACAAAGCAGTATTCGGAGCAGGACGACACTTTTTTCATCACAACCTTATATTCCATGATTTCGTTCACTGTTGCAGTGGTAACTACCTCTCAATTCATTTTGATAGATTACTTAGGATTTGACGTCAGACAGAATTAGTTTGAATTTATTAGCTAAAATTGATCATGTACGAAAATCAAGCCTTATTATAATATAAGTATCCCCTTTAAAGACGAAGGACAGCTTCATACGTTTAACAAAGCATAAACATTTAGAGAAGCTGTCAATCATACATAAATGTCATTGGTTGAATATGCTCAACACAAACAGCTGTTCCATGATGACAGATCACATATGTAGACGCAAACGAATACAAGCATTCAGTGCAGTGGTTCAATAAACTAATCTGGGTTTTATTGTCTTTAGAATTCCCACCTAAATGCATCATTTGTAACTTTACTTAACCTATGGTAAACCCGAATTAGGTTGCGAGACAGGCGGCAGACAAATGGGGTGATTTTTTAATTTCTGATCGACAAAGGAATTAAATTAACTTAATTAAGCGTTAAGATAGCAATTCAGAAACCATAAAATAGCTTTATCGACAGGATGGTAATTTTTACATCTATTGTGGGAGAAAACTACTGCATGGTTGAGTGAAATTAGGTAGAGAGGAAGTTCGGAATGATGGTGATCTTTGTGACTGACAGACAGTTGTTTCAACGACACAGTCACTAAGAAAAAATCTACTCAATAAACAAAAGGCGTTAAGAAAAACGTACGAGAGGTCATAAAGGCGGAGTCATTGACATGTTTACAAAGTGTGAAAGATAATGGATGAATGAAGTTCACTCATCAGCATTGTGCGCAATCATGCAGTAGGTAGTGTGCCACACTTATTGCGTGAGGAGTAGTGATACTACGTGGCTGTCTGCCCGAATCTCAATAGGTGCAGCTGGCCTCGAACCCATGACCCATTGGTTGAAAGCCATCTCCCTAAACCAATAAGTCACAGCTCCACATGATAAAGATTTACATAATACATAAACATGTCAACAGTTATTTGGACCGACTGCGATTCGAAAGACAGCAGAAATGGATGATTACCGATCTTAGATATGATAGGTGACAATCAGTTATGACGTAATTAAGACAAATTCACTCCTCGGCTCAAAATCTTTAGTAATAACATATCGTATACCAGTCAACTCTACCTTCATCTTACTACTCTCTTCATCTGGTTGATTATTCACACTGTAGGTGCTAAGAAGAAGTATAGGTTGAGGACGAACTAAGGGTGTAGAGATCAACATATGTGACTTACGCATAACACTCGAGTATGAGTATGACACTGAATGATATCAGTCCAAACCTCTGTGGTAGCATGAGTCTCTTCAGGATTTGGATGATAATTGTTAATGGACAAAAAACAGGCTTCCTATGGTTGCTTTTCATTGAACTTTATTCAGTCCCGGAAACTAGACACAATAGCATCTGAGTTGTGGCAAGATTCTAAATCAGTGACCTCCGAAGGTCGCATGTTTTCACATCGTCTTTCTTTTACTTGACTTCTTTCTTCGATGTGTGCCGATGCCTGACAATCGACGCTTTTTGATGAAACATGACATCCTGAAGTGATAAACTACCTCGTGATGTTTTACTTTAATCAATCAGTCTGTCTATGCACAGCAAGAAAACAGTCAGTGCCTCACTCTCCAATATGAGTTTTACCGCACACACAAAAACAACCTTGGATATAGAGCAGTACACAATTTGTAAAGTATAATTACATGATAACAATTATTGAGTACCTAAATGAAGCTCAATTGCGCAACAACAATACCAAAAAAAACTTCAGTTAGGCATGCTGTAGAAAGAATGTGTACGGATCAAGTTTGAAGAAATGTGAATTTTAATTCAAGGTTAGTTGTAAGCTGATATACATGAGTGAGTGAGTGAGCGTATACAGTCGGGGCAGAAACGTGTATTATTTGAAATAAACTGGATTAAAAAAGAGATTATACACAACTAATATAATAGAGAGTTAATATTATTGCCATCTGAATGTAAACGAGAGAGAGAGAAAGAGATACAGAGACAGAAATAATATGCGTGATGTATTTACGCCAATGAGAACAACTTTAAGCCAGGTAACCATAGTTTTAACCATTTTATCCATCAGAACTGAGAAGGAGCTCTGAATGGTTTGACTACCCTGAGGCTTATTAAATTCAATTACTACACGATCAAGATAACCCTGAATGAAAACGATTTCATCAGCAAAGTTTAGAAACTAGGAGTTAATCAATGCTGTTATGTATAATGGAATGGTGAAAGTATGAACGAAGGTTAAAAAAGCTCCTAAGAGAATGTTAAAAAAGGCCAGCATAGACACGGAAACTTTAGCAATCGTGAACAGACAGACAGATAAAATCAACGTAGAACCTCATACACAAGTGCATCACCTCAACTTCCTACACTTCTCAATACCTTGCAAGAACAAGTGCACAAAAAAGATTGATATAGAAGTAGACAAAGGTGTGTAGGAGTTAGTTCGAACATTCGAGTTTTGGAAGACATCAAGGAGTGAATACATTTGTACTATTGTGACCGATAATCAGCTATGCCACTAAGAGTCCTCAACCACTGATTTTTTTCCATATCGGGTACCCCATCCAGATAGTCTCCACCTCCTCGCACGGCTCAGATAAACAGTCAGGTAATTCGTTGACTGATGCCACGTCTTAGTTCGGTCACCCTAAACCCTTTTCTTCCAAAATAATCTAACGTCTTCTAGCATGGCTCATCGAGGTAGGCGGTGGCTCGGCATGTACAGCACATGTCCAAGCCGTTTGAGTTGATGAAGCTTCACAACTTCACTAATTGACCTTCCTATCTTCCCTAGTACCCTTCACCTGACCTCGATATTGCTTATATGGTGATTCCAACATACGTGAGCGAAATTAAACCCTACACATGAAGTACCACTCAATATATGTCGTTCATATGCCATTCGTTTATTTCAGGACAATGATTACCAATTCCGTGAGTTTTCATTTTCAAGTGGTATCCCTTTATTTCGCTAGGTGGTGGCTAGCCATGGAATCGAAGACAATCGTTTCGTCCCACTTAGGACTCGTCAGCTGGATGCACCTATAGCCCAGTGAGTGATTCTGTTTCCACCGAGACTTGAACCCATCACCCATCGCTTCAAAGGCCAAAGTGTTATCCACTAGGCTACTCAGACACAACAGCCACAATTTGTGCAACGGTATTCCCACAATTTAAAGACCACCGGTCTTTTTTTGCGCAGCTTTATAAATCAAAACTATTAAAAAAATGGATGATGAACTATTAACAGGCATATTGATATTGTAATGTAACATACCTTTTGTATTAAGTGATAAAAGCTCTGGTGAGATTTCAGGCGATGAATGATTAGTACGTCGTCGAGGTTGATGTGGATTCGATGGTGAAATAGTCATTTCAATAGAATTAGAATAACCTGAATCCGATTTTTGACGAATCATTAAATTTCTAGGTAATGTAGATGGTTCAGTTGGTATACAAGAATTTCTAGATGATCGATTCCCTGATAAGGATGGTCTTAATATGCCAATTTCAATTGTATGCTGTCTCTCTGCATCAGTAAATGCATTATACACATATTGTAATGCTCTATAAAGCGAGAAAAGATGAAAACAAATATGCAAGATAATTAATTTCGAAATAAAATTTTAAAAAGTGTTCAGCGGATCAGTGTTAGTGACCGAGCACTACCAATTTCAGACAGTAGTATATTACATGAAGCTTGATGCTGGTAACCCTGACACCAATTGTGATGTCCGGTAGAAGATCATAATACGCAATCTGAATATTTGGGTCTCCATAGGAAACTATGATGAGATTTTTCACCACAGACTGCGTGTTTTTGAGAACATCTAGATTAAGGGCACATTATTCTTTTGAAACGATAAGTCTTGAATGTCGTATGTGTTTGTCAATAACTGAAAAAACAAATGAATAGCATGAACTTCATGTAAAACACTGCAGACACATCCTGCTGGACCACTTTAATTTACATTTTGGGGTTAGATGGTGAAAGCTGATTGAGAAGAAGCCTCCTGTTCAACCTACGTTCCCATCAGTGGTTAGTGCTAAGGACTAGACAGTTATGCCGGTTACCCACTACTGTGGCAAACCATTTCGTGTCGTCATCACGATCATCATCAACATAGGACCAGATCCTACTGCACAACAGTTCAAGTTGCCATATCTCAAAAGCAGTAAAAAAGAATAAGGAGGAATGAGAAAAGGCTGAATTCAGCATAGTGATTAGCATGAGGATAATGTGTGTATATATCTGCGCCACTGACATTGATTCTGAGCTAAATCATCTAAAGCCTCCAACCGCTGGTTTTTGTGCTCAAGTGGCTAGTTTGGAACTCCCTACATGTCTGATGCTATGTTTGAGTTTGTTTCCCTAGAGTCTTTTTCCAGCCTGAACCCACTCTAGCTAACAGTGACTACGCATGCGTAACACATGTCCTGGCCAGCTCAGTCGGTGGAGGTTCACAACTAGATCAACTGACTTCCACCTCCTGCTTAGAACTCTACACCTGACTTCAGTGTTACTCATGTGATGGCACCATGACACACGGCCTATGCTACGAAGGTAACGGTGGTCAAACACACCTGAAGTCTTCTCATACCCATTTCGTGTTCTTTTCTGTAGTACTGAAAACAAAAGGCGAATAAGAAGTGGTAGGATTGACTGAAATTTGCTAAGAATGTGGCTGAATCAATATCCAATTAGTTTGTTTATTAGCTAATATATTTGTGAACAAGTAAAGATGTGTTGATCGCAATACTTGATCGATTATTAAATATTAATTTCACTTGAGTTGAAAGAGAATTTCGCTTGAAAAGGAGATAGTGTATCCTCTACAAAAGGAATAACCCTCTACCTCGAATCACATCATATTCATGGAGTAAGTGGTCGGTTAGTGACTGAAATACTTAAAATGGACCTGATTGGTTAACTATGACGGCCATAAACAGGAAATAAATGACAATCTAGATTCAAATCAGATTCTAGTCATTAGCCTTAAGGAACAACACCATAGTTTGCCCTATGTAAAGGCAACCTAGATTGCGCGTAACCACTAATAAATAACAGATAGGTGGTGAGCATGATGACAATAAATGCAACGACCATTGAAGTTCAGAAAACTTATTTCTAAAGGGAATTACCAGAAATACCAACTTTTTTCACTGATACTAAACTTCTTTATACCTTTTTGAGATTATCCACACACTCTGCAGACGGAAACTATCACTGAGTATGAACAGAATTTTTTCAACCTGCATCCCAGCACTACTCCATTGTAACAGTCAAAGTCGCCATACCTTATATCAGTACATCAAGCAAGAAGGCGCCAAGATGAGAGACAGACAGAAAAAATCAATGTGGAACTTCGCAGATAAGTCCATCATATCAAAGTTGCCACGGTAGGATACAAGGAATAGGGGGATGAAAAAGTAGTGATATCAAAGTAGACAAAGTTGGATGAGAGAATAAACAATCTGAAGATAACGATTAGTGCAAATATTCCAGCTTTAGATGTCAAGGAGTGAATACATCTGCACATTGTGAGGGATTTTCAGCCACGTCACCAACAGTCAGTCCTCAACCACTGATTCCTTTCATCTCGGGGACCCCAGTCAGTCATTTTACATCTCCCCGCATAGCTCAGATGAACAGTCAGATAATTCATCCACTGGTGCCAGGTCTTCATTTGGTCATCCTGAATCCTTCTTTTCAACCTAACCCAACTTCCCGTAACATGGCACGTCAAAGTAGGTGGTGGCTCGGCATGCAAAGTACATATCCAAACCATCTCAGTCTATGAGGGTTCACGACCTCATCAAGCGATATTCCTTCGCCTGACAGAGAAATATGCAGGGTTGTTTAGACATTCAAACTAAGTTTGAATTCGATGGTTTGAAAAAATTTGGACATTGGGTAAACGATACTCAGTATTTTGGTATTTTTATTTCCCAATGAATGTAAAACAAAATAAATTTGTTTCAACTGACAGCATTATCAAAGTTATGGTAAACCGGAACTTACAATATCCCCTAAGCTTGTTGATAACTTGATAAGTGTTCTTTGAAATGAGTGGTTCTGTGTTGTTAAACTGTTGAAAAAAGATGATACTCATATGTAGTGTGCTGCGTGTGAAGAGTGTATGGATTACAAATTGAGATTTTTATGTACACGTGCGTTGACAGTTCTTATATATGCTGGTTATGTTAGTATGTGGGGTGGGCTGAGATTAGGTCAAATTACGTTTTATTCCCTCATTCCTATTTCGACGATTTTGATTCCACTTTAAGTGAAGAGGCTCTGCTATGAGACGTTTTTTATAATACCTAAAGCCTTTCTGAATAATTTCGATATTGTTACTGGGGGATACAGATACCAAGATGATGAAGGAGGAATGTAGTCGAAGTGGTAGAAAGTCACGAAAACAGGACAAGAAAGAATGAAATAGCAATGCAGAGTGATATGACAATGAATATAATCATAATGTGTAGACGTATCTCCACCCCGCCCGAGCTAACCAGCCTAGATAACTACTACTCAGTTGTTCCTTCATATACGGGTAACAGTATGAAAGTAAGTGGAGTTGTGACTCATTGGTTTAGGCAGCTGACTTACAACCAATGGGTCTCGGTTTCAAACACCGCTCCACCTACGGAAGGTTGGCCAGCCAGGTAGTATAGCTAACCCTTACACACGATAAGTGTGTAGAGCATTTCCCATTACATGAATGTGCACAACGTTGCTGAGTGGATTTCAATCCGATCCATATGAAAGTAATGGCAATCAAAGTGTAATGTAACATTTCACAAATCGACTTAGAAAAAAGTGTGAATAGATTACTACAAATAAGTCAGTCAAAGTCAATCCCACTTTAAATACTTTTAATCTAGGACTCAAATATTAGAATAGTATACAAAATGTGAAGTGAACAAGTTGAAAGATATGAACAACTCACTCTGCCTCAGATACATTCGACAATTTATGATGATTTACACTGACGATGATATCTCCAGATCTAAACGGTATATTATTATAACCATTGTAGTATAAATGAGGAAATTGTCTAGTGCAAGCAGATTTATTTGCAAGTCGAAATCCTTTAAACCTATAGTAAGAAGACACAAAAAAAAGTGAAACGGAATGAAAAAAAACACATATGATAGGTCGGTTTAGCTGGTTGAATGACAAATTTAGAAGAACAGCTCAGAATAAAATAACTAGAAATTAGTTTTGAAAATGATAAGTGTTGTTGTTTGTTTTTTTGAAATATTATTAATACTGAAATGAAACATATGGCATGAAACAAAGGTATATACTTTGGTTAAATTTACTTAAGCGATGGGAGAGAGAGGGAACTGATTACATCTTTATTAGTATATTTAGTTACAGTTGGACAGTGAAGAGCGAGTGAAACAGCATTTGTGCACAGCAGGATGTTTAGGAAAGAAAAGGGGGATTAGTTTATTTTAAGGTAGTATTCATCACGTACTAACATTAGTCGGAAAACCATTTAAAAACCTGGGAAGGGAGGCAACGAACATCTGCTTCGTCCTAGTATAGGACTCCGTGGAAGTATGCAACCATGATATTGCCATGGATCAAACTCAGGACTCGTGGCGAACGCCGTAGGTACTCCGACACTGGGTCATAGTTCAATGGCCCACAATTTTCTACATTTGTGAATTCACAATATAGTAAGTACGACTACCTACCAAAATCTTCAGTTGGCATCCACCTTACTTCCAACTAGTTGAGCCCATAGGTAATGATTTCTCACTAGAACTTCGGGATATCCATCTCGACCCATATCAATAATGACCACTATATAGTAATTTAGTTTGAAGCTAATGGGGATTTTGTTTATTTCAAGGTAGTATTCAGTATAGAGATTTACCCCTCACCAGTTTTCGTGGGCGATTTCCACTGACGATTAACTTATCAATTTAGTAATAAAGAGAATTGATATATATGAGAATACCGTTTACTGGAATGGTGGTACATTCAGATGACGAGTTCCAAGCAGAATGGGACACATTCAAGATTCTACCTCTATCTGAATGCACTACCATTCCGGTAAATGGTATTCTCATTCAGACTAGTTGATTAGTTATTGCTGCATTATCAAGATACACTCAAAGGCAATGTGGACGCGCGTGATATATCAAAGTGAACTGATCTACTCAGTCCTGGCAATAATAACGATAAAATGTATGCCTGGCTATTAGTATAAACTGTAGGCAAATGAAGGTTTGTATCTTTTCTTTTATTTACGAAATTCTTATGTCGTCTTGATACAAGTATTCATGAACTTGCTGATCTCCTCTGTCCACTGAACATTCCTAAAACTGAAATCAGCCAAGAAAACCAGCTAGAAGTACCCTACTAGTTCGTTAATGCCAATTACAGTTTCATACTATATTATCTAAGCATTTTTACAACTATTTTCGAAAATAACTGAAAGTATCTGATATTTTATGCTGTAACGTTCCTGAGAGAAGTGGTGGTCAATGTCGTATCCAACAGATATCAGTCTTTCAAGAAGTTAATTCATTTTATTTGGAACTTAGTTCTCTTCCAACTTAAGTATATAGACTATCTGCCTGAGATCCTTTAGATAATAGGAATCAATCAACGACCCCATTCGCTTCAACTTTGGTGATTAAAGTGAAATAAAAATCTGGTTAACAGTCAGTCTTGTAGCTCAGTTGGTACGGCGCCAGGTAGAAAACTCGGTGGTTACTGGTTCGAATCCTCCAGCTGATCAAATTTTCATATAACCTTCAATCATCACACAGTATCAGTACAAGTCTGCCAAGCCACAGCTATCTCAGATAGTCAAATTGATAATAAGAAAGAATGTTTGGAGGCTGTCGGTGACATAAATGTATAGTTTGTTATCCTCAAAGTCATAAACGTTTTGTTAGCCTTTATTCATTTATTCGATCCCCTTTTACTGACTTTATCTACTTTAATATCACTTGGCTATCCACTTCTTGCATATGCTACTGTGAAGTGTGGTAAATTGAACTAATGCACTCCTGTATCAATTTCTACACCGATTCGTTTCTGTCTGTCTGACTTCTTATGACAATGAGTGAGGTTAATAAGATAGGGGTAGAGTGAATGAAGCAGTCAGCCAGTGGTAAACATTTCATTCTGATAGTGGTTGTCCCCAGAGAGTTCAACTAACTAACCACATAGGATTTTATGCATGAGAGTCACGAGTTATACTTAATATGTGATGCTCAATGGTACTCCATGATCGTTTACATATCGATGAAGCTGTGGCTCATTTATCTAGGGAGATAACTACCAACAAATGGGTCACAGGTTCGAACCCCGTTACAATTACCAAGGTTTTCTCAGCTACGTAGTATCACCAGCCTTCAAACAATAGGTGTGTGGCTTATTGCCTGCTGCATGGATGTGCATAAGATCGCTGAGTGCGAGAAAAAAAAAACACGTCGATAGCTGGTGTGAAATTCGAAGTCATGAATCACTGACTGGAAGTTCATTTACGTAGGCCAATCATTCATGGCTCTTTCTAACAACTCAGTCACATACATCATGCTTCCCTTCAGTTTACCAATACATAAAAAGTTAATCACAACAAATAAAACTGATAAAAACCCACTTTGGTTTGATTTTTCGATTTGATGAAAATGGTTTTAATAAGAAACCTAAATCTTCCCATGCCGGTAAATCTGATATCCGAAATACATACCGTTGATAATTAACAGTATCACTGGAATTATTTATTGACTCGCTTGTCCTTGATGGTGATGATAGATAATCAGTCAGTTTAGCATCGTTTTTTATCACTATCACTTCTCTTCCATTTGTCTTTTCACTACTAACATCAATTTTCTGTGATACATCGGAATCAGATGAGTATTTATGAGAAGTATTAGCGTAGGATAGGATAGTTACACCGCCAAGTGATCGCCTTAATGTACTATGACGGTTGAAGGAATTACGATTCACATGACGATGATGAGGGTAACGACGTTGTTTATGAGGTCGTTGACTATTCTGGTCTTCATGATTTGAAGTAATCGATTGTGGAGGAGTAATTGTATGACTAGTGTTATAGTCACGTTTATCGGTAACATGATCATAATTGACTTCTGTCGGGGAATAACTGCTAGGATATGAGGAAGGGATCACTTCTAAATTGCTATTATTAGTATCATTATCTTTGGATGTCTTAATATTGTGTACAGATGTAGGTGAGAATGCGGCTGACGTCAAGGGGATTAAATCATCACTGCTGCTTGTGAACGGTAGCAAAGCAGACTTTTCCGGCTGAAAACAAGATACAAAACAGTTACTCAGTGACTATTTGGTTTTAAGAAACAGTAAACAATCTCTGGAAAACATTTTAAAATGGATTAATTTAAGTAAATATCTAAAGACAAGAAAATGTTATAATCATGCAACTACTAGCTACAGTCTTGAGGAAGCTATATCACCATCGTCAATAATAATAATAATAATAATAATAATAATAATAATAATAATAATGGCTTTATTCTTAAGGATATTTCGGAAATACTCGATAGAATTTTTAGCATGTCATCTAACATGAATTGGATGGAAACAGTGTATAGGTAAACATCATACGATGAAATAAGTAGAAATTGCATATAAAAGATCAGAGTAATATATACTCCATGTACAACTTTCTTGAAAATGCAGGGTTAACTTAGGTAAACAGTCATATTAGCAATCAGACTCATAATACCTAAATAACACCAAGCTGTGTAATCTTCAATTAGTTTGCTTTCAAAACAGAAGTTGATTAGTTAATTCATTTCTAACACTTTCTTCCTTGTCTAAGATATGAGCTAAATACGGCATTATAGAGTTTGTATATATAATAAGTAGTATGTGCATGAAGCCTGGAATGATTGCTCCTAGTCTTTCCTGAGGACAGATATACAGAGAGGTTTGAGTGAAGAGAATGCTGGTCATCTGATAAATAACTCCTACCAGATGTTTTTACATGTGTTAAGATGCATGCCCACATCAGTTTCATTTAGAAGGTTTAGTGGTACACCACTAGTTCTGCTGACAATCTTCAAAGTTCTACGCAATACAACATAGTCTTTTCTCAGCAACCCAGGAAAGAATGAAGGGAAACGATAGAGGAGAACAGGCAAGATTCAGGAGATTATAAAACACAAAAGGAAAGACTGAGTTATACCAGATACTCTCAGTTTCCTTATATAGAAAGTTAGGCGGAAAACTCTTTTGGGAATCAGTGAGATATGGAAGGATCATGAAAGGGCCGGAGAGAAACACACAGAGGTAAATCACACTTGTAACATTCTCTGGTGCACAACTATAAATAGAACAGGAATCATGAGAGACTAAGCAGTTTACATAGGTCTGGAACTAAAGTTTAGTCTGACATTTTGAAGAATTAAGCACAAGACCATTGATGGAGGACTATCGTCTAGCAGTAGATAGAAAACTACTCAGTTGGGAACAATCAATTGAAGAGGAGACAGGTATGGAAACTGTCAGATCATCAGCATATTTGATAAAATTGATACCAGCTGAAGATAATATCTCATACAGAAAGAAATGAAAAGACTGGAGAAAAGGATGGAACCTTGGGGAACACCAGTTTCAGTAAGTAATGAGGTGAAGCCTCTCTCTCTGTAAACAGTAAATTGTTTCCTTCCAAAGAAATAGAAATAAAGTCAACTGATTATCCAGGACACAGTATAAGTCCCAGCTAGCTTTCCCAGTAAAAGAGGTCTTGGGACAAAATCGAATCCTGAAGTATAGTCTAGAAAGACATACCTGACGTACTTGACATTTGGATCAAGATTATCAGCAATATTGTCATGTAAGACAGTAGTGGTATCGATGCTTTTATATGCAAATTGACTGGGTTCAAACACAGGCATTATTAGCTTCTCCATTATTTTCAAGAACGGAGAAGTAATTGTAACCGGACAGGATTTCAAACATGCATCTGGAATCATTGACTATCTTAATATCTATCCAGGTAGCTGGTACTTTCAAAGAAGAAATAATCAAATAGAAAGTATCCATACCTCAGCATTATGCATTATTATCGAACATTGAAATAAAAAGTTGTGCAGGGAAAAAACTGGAAACAGTTCAGGAGTGGAGAAGTTCGACTTCTTTCTAATACGCGAAAGTTAAATACAATAGCATTTGATGAGTAGTTTCATTTCAGTGATACTGTACATTTCTGTAGCCTACATGAAGCAATTTTACTGTGGAGATGAATAAAAATCTTTTTGAGTAACTTATGGGGATGTTATGAGGTTGGTGTAAAATAAGGAATGTTAAAGGTTTGGTAGAAGATCTTCATATAACCACAAGTCAAGTCGTAATCTGGTTTTGTAGTTAACATCACCACCTTGAGGGTGAACGAAAACCTAAAGGTCCTGGGTTCGATCCTCAGGGGAGTCATGAGTGCGTACTGTTGAGGAGTCTCATAATAGGGTGAAACAGCTGTCCAGTTCTCCCAAACTTACAATATTTTTCCGAATGATGTCAGTCGATTACACTGGAAGTAAATAACTTTAGAATGGAATCACCAGATAATTTTCCATGGTTCTCAAAATCCTGTACAACAAGCCTCGATAAACAGGTCAAATATTGTTTATTAAGAGATATCCATCATCAAAGTTTACAACGCAGTTACTAACGATAAATGAGATAAATACATACATATGTAAAATGGTACTTCCCCGTAGGGCTAATCTGCACGACATCGTGACATAATAACTGCAGATTATTGTAACTGCACCATAGCTGTATGGAGATTAACAAAATAAAGACTGTTAGTGTATATCGTCAATAATCAAAAGATTATGATAAGAGTTTTAATCGGTTATGATATCTCTCAGAAGTAAACGACACTAACCTGTCACAAAGTAGCTACAATTGTCAATTATCTGAAATGTGTATCTGGCCACGAAAGGGATAAGAATACGCTAAAATGATACACACACAAGTGTGAAGTTGTTCCATAGTGATCTATGCAATTAACTTATAAAACCAATGGGTTACAAGTTTGTATTTCGAACCACCTACTCTGAGTACAAGTATACAGAGAGAAATTATCACGTAAGTTGGTTAAATAGAATGAAGTTGAATGTGTTTTTTTCATCGAAAATTTAAAGGTTTACCCAAACTCATACAACTTGTTTGCTTGTTGCCATGCTTTATCCTGGTCGCCCTAAACATTTTTCCAGAATAAACCTACTTCAATCGACATTTTGCGGTGTGGAAGATGACGAATAAACGCGTGTAGCACATGCCCCACCCACCACGGTCGATGAAGGTTCACAACCTCCTGAAATGACTTTACTCTCCTTCCAAAAACTCTACACCTGACTTGCATGTCATTGACGCGATGAGATCACAACACGATGATCAAACACTAAAAGCCTTCTCATGACCTCTACTTTTGATGGCCATGTTTCACAAGCAATTAAGAGGACAGAGAAAACTACACTGCGGTACACTTGACAATCAGATATAACGGCGGCACTATAAATGGTGTAAGTTGACGAAAGCTAATCGAGCCTTGTATATCTGTGCAGAGATTTAACCGGCCACTGACTCACCAGGGCTGATCCGACTTCCCAGGCAAGTGAAGTGGTCAGAGCACGCACAAACTCACTATTGTTAGACAATTTTCCAGTCCTAGAGTAATAATTTACATTCGGATGGCAAAAACGTTTGTGCTTTGGACTATGAACCTTAATTACTGTGTGAGATTTAATAATACTGTAAAAAAAACAAGAGCGTTGTGAACTAAGGGAGTTTTTTGTTGAGAAACTAAAATAAGTATTTATGAAATACTAAAACCTCACATTCAAGGCGTTTCATGCAAATAGTTTCTACATTTTCACATTCGAGATGACATGATCTTCAGTTTCTGTTGCCGCTTCTTTCATCTTCTGTACATCCTTCCAATGGGTCTTGTCTCAAAGCCTCCAATGATTAGACACTAACTATAATTTCATATCCCGATGGTATTACAACATATACTACTTAAATGTGCTTCTATAAGCAGCAAATAACACAGTAATATCTAGTTTCTCGAAGTTAAGTAGACAATATGTGTTTCTAACCCATAAACTATTGGTTGAAGGTCAGATGCCTGCATCCATAAGCAAAAACTCTACCACCGGTACTACTACTCAAAGCCTATAGACCATCAAATCACTATCAACCTGAGCTACAAATCTCCAGCCCTTTGGACACCAAATACTATACACCCGAAATTCATTCATGACTGAAAACACACATAAACAGATCTCGACTACTTCTAAACTCACCAATTAACTGTGTTTTTTTTTATAAAACAACGACACACAAACGATACTCCATTACTAACCAGAGTATTTAATCAAACAAAACTATGCAAATATATGTAACACAACATTCTTTAACGAGAGTGAAATCTAAAATGCATATACATTCCGTTACAATTATAAAAACCATCAGTTTCTTGCACTAGAAAAAGATTCTACTTTCTCAACAAATTTTCGCCACAATACAATTATTCAATAAAATTAAGATTGTGATCTCATCAGAGTACACTGATACAATAACTGTTTACAATTTAGGCTTCATATACACCAAACACATGCATCATTATTGAACAAACAAGGACGCATGCACACACGTCAGAAGAAAGTGGATGACGGATGCACAAGAATCTCACTTGGTTTTCCCATTTAAAAAAAGGTTGAAAGCATTCATTACTCACTTTATTCAATGTATTAATTGACAATCTTAAGGAAAATAATGAGACTTAATCAGTAAAGAAAGAAGAAGGTGAGACAACAAAAACACAACTTCTTATACCATGAATTCAGGTTTGAAATGAACAGCTACGCTACCAAAACAATACCTCTGGAGGTAGTTTTTGTTTCGAAGAGAATGTCATCCGATAGACAGACAGACAGAGAGACAAAATTAACGTAGAACCTAACACATAAGTGCATCCACCTCAAGTTGCCACACTTCACAGTAGTACACAAAGAATAAATAAATAGAAACAGAGTGACATCAAAGTAGGGTAAAGCTATGGAAGAGAATACACAATTTGAAGATAAGCGATAGTACAAATAGTCAAACTTTAGACGTCAAGGAATGAATATATCTTTGGCATAGTGGGTGATTTTCATCCACGTCACCAACAATTACTTTTCAACCACTGATTCCTTTCATCTCGCGAACCTCAGCTAGGTAGTCTGTACCTCCTCATACGGCTCAGACCAACAATCAGGGACTTAATCTACTCCTGTCGAGTCTTGCGTTCGATCACCCTGAACACTCTTCCAACTGAACCAAACTCCCACCCACCCACCACCACCACGGCACACCGACGTAAACGGTGACTCGCTCGACATGCCCAACACATGTCAAAGCCATCTCAGTCGACTAAGATAACTTCACAATCTCATCAATCGACTTGCCTGTTTCGCCTAGTATCTTTCGCCTGACCTCTACACTGCTCACACACTGATTCTATAAAACCCAAGAAATCCAACGAAGATATCTTTGATCAAAACTCTGTAACCACTCAATGCCTTCTACTCTTAACAACCATGTCTCAGCCGTATAACGGGACAGATCGCACTGCAGCACAGTATACTCGTCGGATAGTCTGATATCTCACTAGTCGGTGACACAGATGACCAAAATCGGCAAATCCCAAACGGATCTTCTGTATCCCAACTGAAATCCCGTCAGTAACCAGCCCTTTCAGGCTGATCCAACTACTACTCAAGTAGGTGAATTAGTCGACACATTCCACCACTTCACTCCCCACCATTAAAATGAGACTACTTGCACCAGACCAGTTCTACAACATCACCTTACATCTAACAGGTGACACTGAAACGCATGCCAAACATACTCAGATTTCTGCTCAACGCGTTCACAAGACCCGCATTTCGTCACCGTCTACACCTAGCAAAACAATATCGTCCGCATACTACAACTCAACCAGATGACCTACACGGAGTAAGCCAATCCCTGTTAAGTCACCCCTACACAAAGGTTATATCCATTAGTACGTCTGTCTATAAGGTTAATAAGTTAGGTTGGAAGGATGATACTGGGCATCTCTGCCAAGCACTACCAGTTGTCGTCAATTCAGATAACAACTATCCACAAGCTGTCACATGGTTGCGTGTATTTGAGTACAGAGCTTTGATTAGCGTCCATATACTCGATATATATAGCTCGGTACTCCGTACACAGTCAGACCATGTAGTATGCAAGCAATGAAAGATATTGAAATAACACAACTAGCTTTTACCATACAATATTCATAACTTGAATACCTCTTCTAATCCTTCTCAACCTTATCAGACAAACAACGAAGTGAAGACGTTTGGAATAGCCTACATCAACCATATGCCTATCGTAGAAGTTGGAGATGTAAGATTATCCAATTCTGTGAATCAAATTGAAACTGTAGTGCCCTCAACAACTATATGCACATTTTTGTAGTAGGCTATGAACTGTATTTTTTGAGGGTTAATTAAACCACCTGCTACCCACATCTTGGTAGGTGGAGCAGGCTTCGAACCCTTAACCTGATCGTTTCGAAGTCGAATGCTAGACCGGCGAACGACAGTTTCACATGAACGACAATCCTAATGATGTTTAAACACATATCACTAAGACTTAATATCTTTTTCACAGTCATTATATAAGAGTAATGATCCTAACCAAGCACCAAGATGAATGCAGAAGTGGCTGGCTTAATTACATAGTTTAAACTACAAAACAGAGGAGTAACCGCATAAGTTAAATTCCTTTCAATTCTAGTGATCACAACAATTTTACGCTCGATTAGTTTCTTGAGGATCCAGAAGTCTGTATACACTAATAGTCTGAAATAACAGTTTTCTATATCCAGTTAAGTTTAACCTTTGGATCTTTTTTAAATTGACTCCTACTTGAATAACTAATTGTTTCAAGCAAGATCATAAACAACTCAGCTAGACTATGGCAGTCAAGCCGTATTATTCACGGCTAAATAAGAGAATTTGTACTAAAGTATGAAATATTTTATTTCTATGAATTACAAAAAACATATACTCGTTGTCAACTTACTTTTGGAAATCTCTTTTCGTTGACTAAACTGGAACTTAACATATCATATTCACTTGGTAAAGGTTTTATGTAAACTGTTTTCGAACCAATTGAAGGTGGTGTTTCTACTACAAAAAAAGATTTGGAAAACAACAAGAGTATCAGCTAACACATGATCAGTATGGAAATAAAGGCCCTAAGTAACCAAGTGTTGGAGAATTATTGAAGACGTTATCAAAGTGTGGTCATCTGAAGAATTAATGAAAAACTGTGTAGTGATCTCGAAATCAAGCGAATGTAACTTTGATAAAGCTAAGAGACAACGAAGTGGATAGATGTATGGATGATCTATCTAACCGTCGTCAGTGCATTTGTAGCCATTATATAACTTGTCATTTCCCACCGTGACTCAAGTGTACAACAGTTTATTACACAAGACAGTTATTTTATGCATTTATGAAGTATGCAGGCTAGGGTCGAGTGGCGTCAGAACATAAGCATTTAACCATCGATATCCTCTGGTATTTTTGATGCTTAAAGAAGTCAATGAGCAATTAGTGATACCAACCTGAAATAAGTAAATAAATCCCCACAAACCTCCAAATTAATTAATCTAGTGTACATTGGTGACTGACTTTGAGAGGTGATTCCAGAAGTTTTAGTGCAAAGTCGTGACCTGCGGGGCAACCAAATCGGATGTGAAAACAGTTAATCAATGACGCCATTGGATGGAGTTGGCGCCATATAGTGAACTGACAGAAGTAGAAAATGTGGACCACTAGAATCCGACCCAGTGGCTTAATGGTAACGTGTTGCCCACGGAGCCTGTACTAGGACGAAACAGTTATCAAATGCCTCCAAGTTCCCAATGATTCTCTCCTAATTGATGACAGTCCATTATGAATCCCAACTTTAAATTAGTGATACGGTTAAACAATTGACGAAAAGTAAAAGATGCATTGAGGTTGACAAGGTGGCTTTAAACCTGTAAAATCTGGATCATTAAGACATGTTTTGCAAGATTATGAGAAGCTCTGCTGGAAAGCTGAGGAATTTCATATTTAATTGAGTACGACTACAGTTGGATTATAACTAGCCCATTAGGCCACTGACTGTTAGTTGTTTAGGTAATGGTACTTATTTTGGTTAGTTAGTGAGACTTCAAAAATCGTAACCAGGTGACGGGCTGAGTGGTACCAAATACTGATCAGTAATGTAGACACATCAAGTTGTTATTTTTGTCTGTGTCCTTTTTAAGTTGACTAGTGGTATCTTTTAAGTAGGTTAAGTCTGACTGATGATTGAAAGTGAAATGTAAATCTGAGTCGCAACAGGATTTGAAGCAGCGACCACCGGGTTTCCGACCTAGTGCTCTACCAACTGCTGACCAGATTTTTATTTCACTTTGATCACCTGTAGATTTGCCCAGATGTCAATAATAATAATACAAGTCTGCGAGATAACACCTACCTCAGATAGTCGCACTGGTAATTAATATCACGCTCATTATCTTTAATGCAGCTCTATTTTGGCTGAGGCTAGCAGACCTGACTGCGAAGCCATTGGGAATACGATGAATAGATAGTAACGCATCACGAATTTTCATGGCAGTCGGACAAAACTCTCGGTAATTGGAGTAAAATTAAGATCTGGTCAGCAGCTGGATAGTGGAGCTCAGCTGGTGGAGCATCCGGCCGGTAACCTGGAGGCCACTTGTTCGAATCCTGCTGTGACCCAGATTTCCATCTAACCCTCAATTATCCCCAATATAATAATATGAGTCTGCCAAACCATAGCTATCTCAGATGGCCGCATTGGAATAGTAAGAAGTCACATCCTTTTACTACTCCTTGACTTTCAATTACATTTCACTTGGTATTGAATTGAGACAAAAAAAAGCCTTCCCAGTTACTCAAACACCTCAGTGCAGGTAGGAGAAACAACTCACTTACATGAACCATTTAAGTCTTCACTAGTCATAAGTATCCCATTGCAATCCAAATAACTCTTTCTTTAGTGGATTTTGCACAATCAATAGTATCATTCTTTATGTCATAAACAAAAGGCATAATATTCTGTATATATGGTCTTTCGTAAGAATATCATGCGAACGTAATGTTGTCTTTAGATGCTTCCAAGCATGTTTATCAACTCAATTAATTACCACTCGTATCTAGATAAATTAAACAGAAATTAACCATGTGAAGTTGACAATATCATGAAATAGTACTTGTACGCAGATGGATTATCAAAAATAGACGACAAAAAAGCGCATCGATTCAGGTTGTTACACTTCACAACACCACAGAAGTAGAAGTATACTAAAATAAACAAGAAGGGTAGTATTGGAAGGAGAACAATAAGTAATGACTAATAATACAGTAAAATGTGCGAAGATTTTAAAAAAAAGCGTACACACTTATGCCCTTCTAGTTTATTCTGAATGACATAACCAAAGGTTTCCAATCACAAATTTCGAAATTGCCCACATAAGTGAATAGAATAGCCTGGTATAACTCCCTAAATGGATGAAGCTATATCAGTGTGATAGAACTGCTTAATCCGCACCACCGAACGAGATTCAAAGCAGAGCAACACTGGAGTGTCACACACTTAATAAGTGAAAAATGTCTTGCTAATGCACTCAAAAACTCACTGAAGGCACTAAAAAGAAACTGCATTTGTCAGTTTCCGTAAACTACGTCAACTACAAACCCTCCTAACAAACAATCGACATACACGAAGTCGTAGATAATCAGAGCATGTCTACCCCGCCAGTATGATCAGCCAAGTAGAATAAGGATGATGACAGTTGAAGCCTCTCATGGATTCCACTAATTTTTGTCGCCTAAAACAATTCTCCGTAAATCTTTACATAACAACATTAGTTCAGGAATAGAAACCTTGGTAAAAATAAAAGATACTCCACCTAAAGCAACTCATATATGGTCTGATAAGATTTATGCAGTCAAACTGCATAGTGAAAGTGAAAGATAAAAGAACTAGTGAGAACGGTCAAGAGTATCAATTTCTTTAGACATTTAGATATATGGAGTAAATTGGTGAAAAAAAGGCAGTTAGCAGAACTTTCCACGACAAAGAAAAGTTAACAATTTGATTTTCCACCAGAAATAGAAATAACATTTCAAAAAGCAGTCCCACTAGCTTCTAATCACTTTATGGGTCCTCATTACCGAATGGTATTAGAATACTAGAAATGTGGCCTTTAATTATCATCAAAGTTAATAAAACCGTAACTCCTACAGAGGTTTGGGCAGGCAGGTAGTATCATTAACCCTCGCATAATAAGTGTGTTTCAAACGACGTCTGTTACCTTAACGGGGTGGTCGGGCTTGCATATTACAATGATTCAACCAGCTATGCTGACGGAAGGCTTGTCCCCCGAGGCCTTACCATACCATAAGAGTCACCAGTTGCCGTTATGGTGCAAGTTGTTAAGTTATGATGGGAGGATGAGGCTGAAGTCATATTGCTGACTCAGCAGGAGTGTGCTCAGCAATGCCATGCTGATGTTGTCTTCCCTATTAGAAGCGGATGAGAGCGTTCGAATAGGTCAATCTTCAAATAGCACACTTCCCGCTACCATGCGGCATACCAGTGCCGGTGATAAGGGTTTGTAGTCGGATTTGAGAAACAACTAAATATTAAACTCCTAAAGAGTCCATATGTGGCCAGCCTCAATCAGATGTTTTTTCGACTCTGTTGTCACGCACTAGCCTTCTCTTACTAGCTTTTCACAGTGTGCGCAGCCGGTATCGAAAACCTTCATACCTGTCAGTAATCAAGTTCCCTCAGACTACTGTCCACCTTCCGCATCCTTACCTTTTGATTTTTTTTCGCGTCTCTCGGTTAACATTCTTAAACCATCTTTAATTCCTACCAGGTCTGCTGCTTTCGACAACGATCTGAGTTCACAGAATATCACCTGTGATCTTCTGAAACTGCCCTTCAAACTACACGTTGCAGCTTCCAATGTCCGGACCCCGCAACAAGTCGGCCAACATGCGTTAATAGCCAAGCCTCTAGCAACTCGGACCATGGATCTATGGTGCGTTTGAGACACGCATACATGACCTAAATGCGGTTGTTCACCCTTGGAGTTTCTAGATATTTGACGGCTAGTTCTCGCAGTCTTGCAGGTGTAGGTATACTATTAAGCACTAAGGTAGAAAAATTGTACTGGGCAACTGGATTCCAGTTGACGTTCGCCTGTGCGCTGTCCAACTGAATGGTACAGTGAAGACTAAAACGAGTGGTGAAACTCGCCGATGTCTCTTTAGGATCTCTGCTTGCACATCCATTGACTGCAGTTGGATGAAGTCAAGAATGAGTTTCACCGAAAATGTTTAGTCTCCTACTTAAAGCTAAAGACTTAGACATGGTTGTTATAGCATGTAATTTCAATGTGCAAGTGGGTAAGTTAATTCAGGCAGACAAGCACATAGCTGGAATTTTTAGAATCCCGGCCGAACGAACAGATAACGGTGATTGCCTACCAAAGCTGTGCTCAGACGACTATCTACTTCTAGCCAACATGAACTTCAGACAAAAAGACAGGCATTGTCTGATATGGTGTCCATTAACCTCAACTCAAAAGTGAACACAGACAAACCATAAAGCTAACAGTTTTCGCTGGAGAGCGTTGATGCAACACTGCTACTCATTTTGGAGTACGTATTTAGATAGCAACTACGCGTTAGTTTGAGAATCTGTCTGTGTATCGAAATGCACATAGAAAAATCTCAGCGACAAGACCACTGCTAGTGAGGTTCGACAACGAGAGCATTAGGGATACTTTGAGCGAGAAACTGGTTAGACAGTAATTGGAACCTAACGATATCATTCTTCCAGGAGCCTGGCGTCACCTCCAGTCTGCTATAAAAACAGCGTTAAAAACCGTAGCATCAGCTTCTTTCGAATTAATGGATGCACACGAACACATTTCTGCAAGCTCCAGGGAACAATGAGGAGTAGAAGCAATTAAAATGTAAACTGGTAAAATGTATACCCAATGACCACGAGTAGTGATAAGCAGCGACAGCTAAAGAGATGGGAAAGGCAGTGACGACAGACAGTAATTTAGAGTCATCAAGGAAACTGGGTAGAAAAGTCAGTGGTTACTGAAACAATAGCAGAGAAGGGTGGGTTTGTGATTCAATCGCAAGACAGATGACTAGAATGATGGGTATAATACTTCGACAGAGCCAGATGTGACTTTAATTAGAGTATCTAGCTCTTGAAAGGTCATTTATCGCGTTATCAGCACACATAATTATCCATATGTATGAAAGTTTTGACTACTTTAAACGGTTTATATATGACTGAAAGCATGTTACACAGATAAATAGGATTTAAGATATTAAGTTGTTAAACGACGTTAAACTACGGAATTCTTGTTGAGCGAACGGACCTTAGGTTACTACACTTTGTCAGTTAGAAGAGTCAGCCCATTTATGCTGTCTAGCTGAGATTTCACTTAAATATAAACCCCTGAAGTTGATCCATAAAATGTGATCTTGAAATATGAAGGGAAAATTGAAAAGTACAGAAACCATAACCATTGATTCACATACTAAACGAATAGTTTAGCCACACAAAGCACAGATAGAAAACTTCGTGTGTCTAGCAGAACGTCAAAAATGAACGTAAGAAATAGAAGTCCACTCAGCTACTCTGTAAAAACTCATACAGCAGGCGATGAGATACGCCTAGTGTGAACTGATGATACTACCTAGTTGCGCAAACCTCTGCAGGTGGAGAGAAGCGCAAACTCGTGACCCAATGAGCCACAGCTTCACTAAACGCAAGAAATTATTGGGAATTTCTAAAGCTTGCAGCCAGGAATAAGTTTATAGTGGGGTTATGTAAATAATCTTGTCATGCACGCTAGTCCCAATTTGTAAGAGCATAGTTGGGGAACGCTTGCTCCATAAGTTAATAGTGTGAGTGAGAAATGTCGGAGGCGAAATGGAGACTGAGGTGACGAAAAAACTACTTAGTAAGTAACACCTACACACACACTCAACGACACAAGCTTACATAAATGAGGTGTCCATTTACTTCGGAGGATAACTGAGATTGATTTCTGCAAGAGATATAATCACACGGCACAAAAGACTTGAAATATCTGGAGTGCATTTGGAATCACACTGATTCCCTCCTTTAAGTCCCAAATTGATCCTTCAATATATCCTGAGTTTATGAACGTAAGAAGAGGGTCGGAAAAGTTTCGATACGAAAATCCAACGACAAAAAGATGTTTCTGTAAGTTTCTTGAATATAAGCAGACAAACTGCGTGGATCTAATATCAGACAACCAAACTGAAGCAATTTACTAAGTGATCAAGGAAGAATGCAAAAGACCATTTCTTGATCAACGTTAGTACCCAAACACTGCAATGAGATTTATGTGGATGTGACCAGATGGGTTAAAGTGATATGATCCAAAGTGACCTCATGCAGTGTAGCCACTGAGTAAACACGGCTTAAGTGAATCATTGAGTACTGGGTAATATTATGAAAATTCACTGAATGTGATGGCTTGATAATAGGTTAAGAATGCCAGTCTACAGTCCTTACCAGACAGCAAAGTTAGCTGAAAGATAGCAGTGTAATTGCTTAGACAACACTTTACAGACCAAAAAACCCTACAAACCCTCGTTTGCTACTCCTAAACCACGAAGTTTGGATATTAGATTGTGATGAGTAGATCTGAAGATTATATTACGGCGACATGTGTTCAAAGAATGTAACACTTTAAAGCTTTCACTTCTGAGTATTTTCATAAGTTCCTTGGTTGAAATAATGTTCTAATCCCTAAAACAAACACAAAACGGTTTCGAACGACAAATAACTTCCCAAATACATCAGACAGAATGGAATCAGGTGTTAAGGTTGATAGCTAACCAACAATAACAATACTCAGAACTCCGTATGCATAACTCTTTTCTTCGAGTCTT